CAACATTATGTATGTATTATGCGACATTATGTAGTGGGATAATTTTTATTGTTATGAATTTTTATTTATGTATTGTTATGAATGGAACAACATTATGAATTTTCATTATGTGCCAACATTTATTTATGTATGTATTTATATTATTATGTAATTATCGGTTTTTTTTAGTTATTTTTCATTTAATATAGGTTGTTTTCATATTTTTAATAATTTTAATACAGTTTTTTTTTTTAGACGACAGCACACACCGTCTCAAAAAAAAAAAAATTGAACCAGGATTTTTTGCGACGGCCCTTTACTGCAATACAAGAGGGATGACCTTAAGGAGAGGCATAGGAGACAGGTAGAGAAGGAGAAAGCTGGACATCGCACCCATAGTTGGAAGAAAAAGAGTATCTTTTATGAATTGCCATATTGGGAGCACAATCTAATAAGACACAACCTCGATGTGATGCATATAGAGAAGAATGTTTGTGACAATGTGTTGTGGACAATATTAGGGGTTGCAGGAAAATCAAAGGATTGTGTTAATGCTCGGCGTGATTTACAAGATATGAATATTAGAAAACCCCTACATTTGCAGTTAAGAGGGTCGAATAAAGCCTATTTACCACCAGCACAATTCACGATGACCAAGGATGAGAAAGATTTGTTCTTGAAAGTGTTGAAGGAAGTAAGAGTTCCTGACGGGTATTCATCCAATATATCACGTCGTGTGCGCTCACATGATAGAAGTATTGGGGGTCTTAAGAGCCACGAAAGTCATATTCTGATGGAACAACTTATTCCATTGGCTATTCGAAGATCGTTACCGAAGAATGTAATTGAACCCTTGATTGAATTGAGCAATTTCTTTAGACAATTGTGTTCAAAAGTGAATCGTGCGACGGATTTGCAATATATTCAAGATCGTATCGCTATAACTCTTTGTCATCTAGAGAAAATATTTCCTCCGAGTTTTTTTGATATAATGGAGCACTTGCCTATACATCTAGCTGATGAAGCCTTATTGGGTGGAGCGATTCAGTTTCGATGGATGTATCCAATTGAGAGGTATCTTCTTACTTTGAAGCAATACGTGCGTAATAGAGCTCATCCTGAAGGATCAATTGCTAAAGGATATCTTATGGAAGAATGCATGAATTTTTGTGCACAATATCTCAATGATGTGGAAACCAAATCTAGTCGACCCGTGAGGAACTATAGTGGTGCTGATAATTTGGGTCATGTTATTGGTGAAAACACAAGCTTTTATATTGATAATACTTCTTGGGTACAAGCTCATCGGTACATCTTATTCAATACAAGTGCGGTTCAACCATTCATATAGTAGGTTAAGTCACTCACTCAATATTTTATTATGTTTTATTGAATTTTCAACTAAATTTTTTGTATTGCTAAAATTTCAATCTACACAGCAAACACCTTAAAGTACTTAAGCTCAAAATGCCTAGTGTCGACGATCATCAACTTCGGCGTGAACATTTTGAAACTTTTCACATTTGGTTCAAGGAACATGTATGTATTTAACTATAGATTCTAGTTACTTAAGTCGATCTACATTTTAAATTTTACATTTTCGTGTTAAATAGGTCCAAACTTTGCGAAGGACTACTGACGTCATATTTTCTAAAGAGATTATTCTATTGGCAAATGGTCCTCTTAACCTGGCAAGGAGGTTCAACGGGTATATACTGAATGGGTTTCGGTATCGAGTAAAGGCCATGGATGATCGTCGAGCCACACAAAATTGTGGTGTAGCTTTGAAGGCAGATACCATAAGTTATGCTAGTCGAAAAGACAAGAATCCTTGTCTAGGGTCTGTGTACTATTATGGACAATTGATAGATATTGTTGATATTTGATATTCCAACAAGAAGAAACATGTGTTGTTTAAGTGTGATTGGATTGACAACATTCACAGAAAGAAAGAAGATGTCTTTAATTTCACGTTGGTGAACTTCAATCATTTGTTGTACCGAGATGATCGAATTACCAATGAACCTTTCATCTTGGCGTCCCAAGCAGAGCAAGTTTGGTATGTTGCAGACCCGTTACAACCAGACTGGCAAGTCGTGGTGAAGATGTCTCAAAGAGGTTTATTTGATATGAGTTCGACTGATCCACAAATTGAGCCATACATGAGCCAACAATTGGAAGAAAATATAATGCTTCGTGATGAAGAAGTTGGTTAGGTGAGGGAAGCCGCAGAAGGGAAACAGTTGATGTTCAAATAGGCTGATATTTAATCAACATTAGTAATTCAATTAAGGCCAAGGTTGTAGTTAATCATCAATTTCTTAATTTACTTTGTCTTTGTAATTGTATTAGTTCAATTAATGTCATATTATAGTTGATGACAAACCATTGTCTATGTTTCTAATGTCAATTGATGTTATATTGCTTGCAGATTATTATGGGAAAAGAGAGGAAGTCTGATCATCCCCGGCGCATGATGTCTGATGTGCTACATAACAGGACATCAGTAGCACCACCATCAGAGGAGGCATCACATCGGCCAGCATCGAAGGGGCCATTAGTGCCACCACCATCTGAGGGGCCATTGGTACCACCGTATCGACCACCATCAGTGGCACCACAGCAGCTACCATGTATTCAGCCTCCACGCCTACCATCGGTGCGTCCACCATCAGTGGCACCACAGCAGCTATCATCATCAGCTTATGAGCCATCCGCAGGAATACAAATTTTCTTTGATTTGTATGAAAAGGTTTTGAGAGGAAAAAAAAAAGAGCCTGAGGGCCGAGTGATGTGAGAATCACAAATGAGAAAGGGTGGGAAATGTGCCCGGAGGAACTGGCTCCTCGAGATTTGAGGTCTTTCGTTGAACATGTTCGCGTGTCGTGTCTTCCGTTTTGTTCACCTCAACTTTTGTTTTGGGTCTTTTCCAAGCGTGTCTCGTTGTGTTTAGGTCGTGTACCCCTTTGTTTGAGTCCTTCCCGCTGTGTTCAGTTGTAGGCTCGATACCCCGGTTGAAAATCCTTTCTTATTCCAAAAATCGTTTATGCTCAGACTGCTATGCCATTCTCTACATCTGTGCGAAGCAAAAGAAAAAGAAAAAGAAAAAAAAAAAAAAGTTTGGGGCAGAGAGAAATAACTTCATACTTTGAGGGTACAAAGTTAAATTTCTCCAACAGTTTATGTTAGACGCATATTTCTAGAGTTCGGAACAGTTGGCTGAACTCTCAGAAACCCTAGCTTTGCGTCCAACTCTGCAACGCAGCCATGGTAATCTCTCTCTCTCCCTCTCTCTCTCACTTCTTTCTCGTTTGGTTGCCTAGAAAATTTTAGGAAAAGAAAGAAATTTGAACTTTGAAACTTTGCTGTGTTAATTACTTGAGGTCTGAGAAAACTAAGTGGCTGGGGTTTGTAGATTCTTCTGAATCATTTATTATTAGTTGATGCTAATTTCTAATATCAAATGCTGATTGGGAACTAATGGGTTTGCTCTG